CCATGCAGTGTTACCCTGCTCTGTTCTGACTACTGCCTCTTGGTCCAAGTATAGGTTTCGCATTAGCACAATTAAATGTTCTGGGATTCCCAATATATCCACTACAAAGAGAATTCTTGGCCTGACTTGATCCAGCAGAGAACCCCACCTCCTCCACATCCTCTGCACAAAGAAACTCAGTTGATTTGCCTCTTAAATTGAGCCAGTAAAAAAAAAAGAGGGGACATTTAATACAACAGAGTTCTGTCAGTTTTCATTCACACCTGACCCATCTTCAAAAATTCTGGCTATTTGTGTGCACCGTGAGGGTCGAGGATATCTTCAAAAATTAAGATTTAATAGTAAGAAGTATCCCTAATCATAGGGTCACACAATTAGACGGTGGAGGGAGAGGTGAGTAAAGGAGATGGGAAAGATCCTGTGTGAAAAGCAATGTATACAAACTTTATAAGTAAACCAGTATAAAATAAAAATTTTATTTACATACATTAAAAAGTATCCCTAACAGGTAACATGGTGCAACCTATATCAAAAGCAATTTGTTTACATCCTCTAAAAGTGGGAAATAGAAATAACATTTTACCCAGCAATCTCACTGCAAGGTACGTATCTTAAAGAAATAAGAGCTGTGACATGAACAGGTGTATACATATCCTTGTTTATTTCCGCAATATTCACAATAGCAGAGATGTAAACAGCCTAAGTGTCCATCAACAGAAGAATAAATAATGAAACTATGGTGCACACACAGTGGAGTACTATGCAACACTAAACAATAATAAAGAATTTCTTAAAACTGTATGACATGGATAAATCAACCACTAGGAGAAGCCGTTTGGTGCTTCCTTAGAACGTTTGAAATAGAAATGCCATTTGATACAGCAATCCCACTGTTACTAGTGTTGTTATGTGCCACTCATACTAGTTAAATATAACAATGAAACAAAATCAGAGATTCAAACTAACATACATGCACTCATACTTATTGTAGAATTATTTGCAATAGTAAAGAGTTGGAAACAACCCAAGTGTCAAATTAAGTCATCTGCACAATATAGGTTGTTGGTGATGCCACAATCCTGATGCCACATTCTTCATAGAGTCTAACTTCTTGGATAATTTGCTCAGCATTTGGATTGAGACTTAATATCAAGAATATAAAAATTCTCACTGCTGGGCCAATTGACAGCATCAAGATGGATGGTGAGGAGATTGACATTGCTCAGTTTTAGTGTGCTTAGCTCCACAGTCAACACTCTTGGAACCAGCAGCCAGGAAATTAAAAGATGTATTGCAATGGGAAAGTTTGCAGTTAGGAACCTTTCCAAAGTACTGAAGAGCAATGATGTCACTCTGGAGACTAAGGTGTGCCTGATATAGGCCATGGTCTTTGCAATTACTTGTCATGCATCAGGAAGCTGGACAATGACTAGAGATGGTAGAAGAATTGATGCCATTGAGCTGTGGTGTTGGAGAAGAGTACTGAATGTACCATGGACCGCTAAGAAAATGAACAGAACAGGTTCATCTTGGAGAGCATTAAAAAAGGCTGCCCCTTGGAGACAAGGGTTC